AGAGGAATAACACGGAAAGACAATACGGGACCTTGAGATGGTTCTCCCCAAATCACATCATAACCAAGTAAAGCTTCCAATACATTCTTACAATTGTTAAACCAGACGAGGAGAGGAACGTGTCGGGACGGGGAGAGAGGAACGTGTCGGGACGGGGAGAGGAACGTGTCGGGACGGGGAGAGGAACGTGTCGGGACGGGGAGAGGAACGTGTCGGGACGGGGAGAGGAACGTGTCGGGACGGGGAGAGGAACGTGTCAGGAACTTCAACACTTATTATCAACAGAGTAAAATCTGCTGGGATAACAACTGCGTGTTTGCCATAGTCAGTCCCACAGACACTGGCCAATGAGCCCCACAGACAATGGCCAATGAGCCCCACAGACAATGAGCCCCACAGACACTGAGCCCCACAGAATGGCCAATGAGCCCCACAGACAATGGCCAATGAGCCCACAGGCAATGGCCAATGAGCCCCACAATGGCCAATGAGCCCCATAGACAATGGCCAATGAGCCCCAGAGACAATGGCCAATGAGCCCCAGAGACAACGGCCAATGAGCCCCACAGACAATGGCCAATGAGTCCCAGAGACAACGGCCAATGAGCCCCATAGACAACGGCCCTCTGAAGGATGAATAGATCCAGCCACACTTCCAATCCTCAGGTGTTTACACAGACTGTACATTCTGCAATTCATGGGAACCAAACTCCTTCACTAAGCCATATACTCCGCTGTTGGAGGGTTAAGCAGACTTCTCCATATCTACATATTCTGGTCACATGATACAATCACATTCATTTCTCAGCTGCAAAACCACATGAAGTATGAAGCAAATATCAGCCAGTCTCCAATGACGTGCTATGGATGGAGATTATGGGGAGACCGTTTGAGAAATACAAACACAAATGATTTACTAACAATACATAGCTACATATCAGAGTTCACAAAGATATGAGATATGATGTGAGATGATGGCCTGATATAATGCATGTGCGTCATCTGATGAAGTACCATGACAAATGACCGCAACATTCTTCTCAGTATCAACCATTTTCATAATACTTGATAACCACAGAAATATAATCCTCATCTAATAAGGACGGCCCACAATACTTACACCAACTCAACCAAATGGACGTCACCAAGAGGGATAGAAATGAGAGCCACTTTGACATTTCATCATGACCCGTATTTCATGAATGCAGCACTACTTCACATCTCACATAAACAGGAAATCCAAATTTCATTCCTGGAACATGACTGCCTCTAGTGGACAGGTAAAGAACATCTAGAATAGACGGCATACTCGGATCGTCCAATCGACATGTACTACGGGTGGACCCAACAGACAATGGATCCCCACAGTATTTATACAGGAGGAGAGAAAAGAAAAAGGAAAAAAAAAAAACCTTAACTTTTTGTTTGAGAAAACAGAACTTTTTGGTTGATAAAAAAAAAAAACTTTTTCTGGAGAGAATCCCTTTGATGAGACAAACACACTTTTGGCTTGAAAAGAAAAACAATCTTTAATTTGGAAAAACCTTTTTCCTGCGAAGAAACACGTTTGCTGGCTTACTAAACAGAGGAGAACTTCTGCTGGTCGGAGAGACTGCTGCTGGACGAGGAACATCTTTACCTGCCCGAGTGTTCCGGCCACAAATCTCAGAGAACGGCTACCTGGGAGTGGGGAGATATGGTGGCCGAGGATCATCATTTGTATTCATACCAAAGTCATTGTTAGAGCTTTGTAGCCATCTTTATGGTGCTGTAGTGCTGATATAAACGCATCGTTATCTCCTGATTGTGTAGATCTGTGAGATTGGACGGTGTATAGGAAGATTGGCTGGTAAATGCATATGGTACGGGCCAATATCATGATGCTGCACACACGTCGTTCTCAACAGGAAGGAAGGCAACCAGAGGTAAATGCATAAATGCCTACCCAATATCATGATGCTGCACACGTCGTTCTCAACAGGAACTCACACAAACAGCCGCGTCCTCATGCGTTTACCTGGCGAGGATTCTGCGACTTCTATGTACATCCCTGAGAGTGAGATTGCTGAGGGGAGAGATCCAGGAGTAGAGGAATCCTATACATGGAGGATCTGTGTTAGTGATACAAAAGTGTTTGGACCCCCTGTGGGTGGAAGGAGGTGAGCGGCCAATCCGGCCTCTGATGGATCCCCTTCTGTGATCACTCACCTTCACCATCCACGGGCACCACTGCCATTTGTGTATGTGTATATACAGTGGTGTGGGGCCACATTTGGACTCTCACATGTTTTCCCTCTAATTTGGAGTCCTGCGTTTTGCAAGAATATGCTGGATCTCATTGTTGCTTTGTATCTTCCATTGGTTTTGTCCTTTTCCTCCCTACAATTTTAATTTGGAGTCCTGCGTTTTGCAGAAAAAACATTTATATCTTTAGATTGTTTGATATTTTTGGTGGAGGTTGGGTGGACGCAGGAACATCTTTACCTGAGTGTTAATCCAAACATTTATATCTTTTTGGGAGTGGGGAGATATTTGGCCGAGGATTATGCATCATTTGTATTCATACCAAAGTCATTGTTAGAGCTTTGTAGCCATCTTTATGGTGCTGTAGTGCTGATATAAACGCATCTATTATCTCCTGGGGGATTGTAGATCTGGTTGTACCATCGAGATTGGACGGTTTGTATAGGATTTTGGATTGGCTGGTAAATGCATATGGTACGGTACCAATATCATGATGCTGCACACGTCGTTCTCAACAGGAACTCACAACAAACAGCCGCGTCCTCATGCGTTTACCTGGCGAGGATTCTGCGACTTCTATGTACATCCCTGAGAGTGAGATCGCTGAGGGGAGAGATCCAGGAGTAGAGGAGGAATAGTATACATGGAGGATCTGGGTGTTAGTGATACAAAAGTGTTTGGACCCCCTGTGGGTGGAAGGAGGTGAGCGGCCAATCCGCCTCTGATGGATCCCCTTCTGTGATCACTCACCTTCACCATCCACGGGCACCACTGCCATTTGTGTATGTTGAATATACAGATGTGGGGCCACATTTGGACTCGGGTTTTCCCTCTATTTGGAGTCCCCGCGTTTTGCAGAATATAGGATCACGATTGTAGTCCCCGGTATTGATTGGGTTTGCCGATTTGCATATATCATTGATTGTGGATAAAAACACCGGAGGATCTTTTTGGGATTTGGATATTTTATTGTTACAGGTTTATGCACTTTTAGATTTTCATGCCCGGAGGTTTAATCTCGGGACGGATCACCATTATAGTCCCCGGGGGAAGTTTACATATTTGTTTGTTTGATTTGTTTTCCATCATCGGATCCTCATTTTGGATGTCTGCACACGATTATACCGTACCCATCTGATTAGTATCTTCTGAGCTTCCATCTGATCCCCGAGGATTCCCATCTTCTGAGGGGGTTGTTGCAACATTCGGGTCACCTGCGTACACTTATACATGGTGTCATTTCTAGGATCGGGTCACCGATTATAGATCCCCGGAGGATCGGGTCTCATTATCCCCGGAGGAGCGCCGATGATCCCCGGAGGATCTTCACCGATTATAGATCCCCGGAGGATTTGTGACAATGATCCCCGGAGGATCGAGAAGAATGATCCCCGCCATTTGGAATTATAGACGAAGGATCAGCATGCTGGTGTGCACATCGATCGTTATATATTTATATAGTATCCGTATCAATCTCATTATCAGAGGGAGCGCTGCATCACTTCCTGGTATAGGAAATATTTGTGAATAGGGGTTCTGTGTGAGAGCATTCCAGTGGCTGTTACAAAGCCCTCCATACACCCAGTGATTGGCGTGGCATCAGGTGAGACACCGAGAGGAAACCAATCCTGTGACATACATTGTCTCCCAGGACTAGGCTAGGCAGGCGGTGCGGTTCCTTGCATTCCAAATCAAAATTCAGAATAGAAAAAAATAATAGAGTAAAACAGAATAGAATATGAAATAAAGGGATAAAAAAAGAATATAGAATAGAAAAGCATAGAACTGTAAATTAAATATTAGAATACAATAAAATAGAATAGAATATGGCTATCTTCGGAAATTCAGATTTTGAAAAGAATAGAATGGAGTTGAATAAAATAAAAAATAATAGAATAGATAATAGAATAGAAAAAAAAATAAATAATATAGCCATCTTCCAAAATCCAAATTTAGAAAAGAATAGGAAATAAAAGAATAGAATAAATAGAATAAAAATAGAATATAACTGTGCACTGAAATTCAAATTTCGTTTAGAATAAATTTGATCATCAATTTATTTTCTGAATTTATATTTCTGAATTTAGTTGAATAGAATAGAATACATCTGAATGCTGATTCAATACTTTTTGAATTAGATTTGAATTTTCTGAATTTGAAACAAAACAAAAAAAACAAATTCCAAAACCGGAAAATGGAGGGAAATGAAATGATCTCCATAAGGAAGTGAAGGAAAAGAAATGTGTTGGTGGTGCACATGTCTAGCCAGGACGGTCCTGCTATGCAGGGCTCCAATACAGAGAGACTTCCCCTCACTTCCTGTCGGGGAAATTGTTGTCAGCAGGACAGGAAGTGAAAGGAAACCATTCTGACAGAGTCCTGGATAGCAGGAAAAACTGACAGGGGCTCTAATCCTTCCACACTCCATCCAAAACTGAAAACACACATTGTGGCTACAGATACACTGGGAAGGTTCCGGCTCCAGGGCTATCATCTCCATCCAGGCTACACTACTTAGGGTGTCACTGATCCAGAACAAGCATGCAGCCAGTGAAGGCGGAACACTCGGACCTCCTGCATGCTTGTTCCTGGTCAGTGACACACTAGGGAGTGAAGTGAGGTTTAGGATGAAGATGACGGCCCCGGAACCTGCAGCTTTCTCCACAAATCACTCCCGTTTCCTGCCCTTCCTCCTATTGGCTGAGTATTGCAATCACCAATCAGATCATCCCCCTTGTGATGTCTCTGGGCAGATCTCTCACTTCTGGCTCCTCCCACATATCTTTATACAACCTTCCCATACCCATACCCCGGCATGGAGGGGCTGAGTGAAGGTGGTGGTGAAGGTGTGGAGGTGTCGGATCGGGTCACACAGATCATAGAAGGAGATCCGCCCGGCCTCATAATCCAGATCTATCCTGACTCTGGTACTGGAGACACCGCCGGGGAATGGGGTCCAATTACTGTCATGTATCACTGAGTACTGATTACCCCCAAACCACCCCACCCTCTCCAACCCCCAGGACTTCTTATTACATCCAATCACTGACTGACCTCCTCTCCTGTCTATATTGGGGTAACACATCCCGACTCTCCAGTACTCTGACCCCCCGACATCCACGTCCCAGTAATGTCTCCCGGAGGAGAAGCTCTGACTGCTCATCACCTGAGGACAATCCCGGAACCTCTCTGGTCTTTCTGGCCGATTCTGATGTGATGATGACCAGGATGCAGTTTTCCCGTCATCTGATATATGTAGATGATTACCAGCTGTCCTCACATCCAGTAATATGTCTGTAACCCTCAACACCCCCCATGTTTGCTGTAGCCCCAATATTTGGTCCTCCAGTGGGGGAGGGTTGGGGGTCATGGCCTGGGTGGTTGAGCATTGATGGGACCTTTGCCCTTTGTAGTAGAATGTGGAGAGACATGTGTGCCTGTACATTTCTGTACATTGACCCCAGACATGATATCAGATAAACCCGTGTGTAATGTGTGTGAGATCCCCCCCACATCCCCATCCCCTCCATCATGGAGGAGGTTCTCATGTCTCTCTCTGTCCACGTCATCTCCCATCCTCAGTATCACACAAGTCACCTGTGTCTGATTCCTGTAGGACAGTCAGTGGATCCGTCGGTTACACAGCTCCTCAATGTCCCTCATCTTCCTGGACAGCTCCTCCTTCTTTATTTCCAGATCCCGAATATAATCCAACATGGGACGGGAGACCCGCTCTGCCCACCCGGAGATGTCCCTCAGGACTCTCTTCTCCAGGTCTTCCAGACGTGTCTCCTGAGGTCTCTGAACAGGGCAGTGACTCTCTTGGTTTCATCATCTGCTTTTCCTTGTACTTTCCTCCTGCGTTCCTGCAGACTCTGGACTCTTTTCTCCACACTCCTTCTCTCTGTCATCAGTTTCTGCAGAACATTCCTCAGTTTCTTTTTCTTCATCTCAGAGGCCTCCTCCAGAGTCTCCACCTGGTGTCCCCGATGTTCTCCATCCAGGCTGCAGGACACACAGATACAGGTGGAGTCCTCAGTGCAGTAATACTCCAAGATCTTCTTATGGATGGAGCATTTCCTGTCCTTCAGGGAAGTGGTGGGATCACATAGGACGTGTTCTGGTGACTTGCTGTGGACTCTCAGGTGGTTGTCACACAGAGAAGCTTCACACATCAGAGACAGGATTTCACAGCCGGTACAGGAGTGTGAATACAGTAAGTACAGAAGACCCCGGACTCCTGCTGCTCTGGATGGGTAGACTGGAAGTTCTCCACTATGTTACGTAGCTTCAGATTCTTCTGAAGGACAGGACGTTTCTTGAAGCTTTGATTACATTCAGGACAGAATAACTCCAGACTCCTCCTGTGTATCCAACACACACGCCAATACAGTCCCGGCAGAAGTTGTGTCCACATCTCAGGGTTACAGGATCTGTATAAAATTCCAGACAGACGGAACATTCCAGCTCCTTCCTCAGATCAGAAGACGACATCGCTGAGAGCGGAAGAGAGAAACGAAAGTGAAAGTCTGACACTCCGTACCGAAACCTGTGTACAGGCCACTGACTCCACTTCCCCTGCGGCACTCACCCATGGAGGTCTCATCTGGACCCATCGCCAAGACTGAGCGGTCGCAGAGGTGGTGGTGTCGGCTTGCTCCTATCTCCGCTGAGCACCTTCCTGGTCCTCCCTAACCCACCCTCTCTTTCCTTTACCTCCTTTGAGGCGCACTGCATCCGACTCTTCTCACCCACCCCCCTAAGGATCTCAGTGATCTACAGACCTCCTGGGTGCATACCCCTCTTCCTGGACAACTTCACCACCTGGCTTCCCTTCTTCCTCTCCTCTGAGCTACCGACCATCATCCTCGGGGACTTCAATATCCCCATCAACGACAACAACCCGGCTACTTCCCAATTCCTCCACCTAACCTCCTCCTTCGCGCTCACACAGCACATGCAATTTTCCACCCACATCGAAGGGAACACCCTGGACCTCGTCTTCTCCCACCTCTGTACCCTCAACCAGTTCTCTAACACCCCCTTCCCTCTCTCCGACCACCACCTCATCACGTTCTCCATCTCCCCTTCCCCCAACTCCCCCCCCCCCAAAAACGCCAAACCATCACCAGCCGCAACCTGAACCTGAACCCGGCCGCCGACCGCCGACCCCCCCTACATGACAGCATCCTCTCACTGTCATGTCCTGACATAGCCACCACCTTGTACAACGACTCACTGTCAGCTGCCCTAGACTCTCTGGCACCCCTAACCACACGCATCATCAAACCTAGGCCGCTTCAACCATGGCAGAATGACAGCACTAAATGCCTCAAACGTCGCAGTCGCACACTAGAGAGACTATGGCACAAAACCAGGTCCCCTCATGCATTCTCCCTCTACAAATCTGCCTTCCTCACTTACACCTCCTCCCCACGCCGCCAAGCAGGCCTATTTTGTTAACCTGATCAACACCCTCTCCTCCTGCCCTCGCCGACTCTTCTCCACCTTCAACTCCCTGCTCTCTCCCCCCCCTCCTCCACTCAGTACCTCACTCACCGCCCACGAGATTGCCACCCATTTCCACAACAAGATTGACGCTATCCGTAAGGACGTCCCCTACACTCCACCGAAACCCCCTCCTCAAAATCACTAACAACCTTCTAAACGCCAAAGCCAAGGGCGACTACTCTGTCTTCCTTCTCCTGGACCTTCTCCGTGGCCTTTGACACAGTTGACCACCCCCTCCTCCTTAAACTACTACTCTCCCTTGGCTTCAGAGATACCGCTCTCTCTCCTGGTTCTCATCTTACCTATCCCGACGCTCCTTCAGAGTCACCTACAATGGTGCCACCTCCCCCTCCCTCCCCCTCTCTGTTGGGGTCCCCCAAGGCTCTGTCCTTGGACCCCTTCTCTTCTCCATCTACACCTCCTCCCTGGGCAAACTCATACACTCCCACGGCTTCAACTATCACCTCTACGCTGACGACACTCAAATTTACCTCTCCACCCCTCTCCTCACCCCCACCATCTCCGCCCGCATCACTCACCTCCTAAAAGACATCTCAGACTGGATGTCGCTACATTTCCTCAAGCTTAACCTCTCTCCAAAACCGAGCTCCTTGTTTTTCCCCCCTGCCCACACCCCCCCCCCCATCTATCCATCATCACCACCAACTCCACTATCATTCCCGCCCCGCAAGCCAAG